GTTTTGATCTCGATAAGAGTAGTAATCTCACTTCGTTGAGATTATTTACTTCTGTGCTTATTTCCTTTATGAAGCAAGAGCATTGATCTTTTATTCTGAACAACCAGATCTGATCCACGGTGATCCACGGATAAACTCCGACACAGGCAAAGATCTCACACAAGCAGTAGGTAATAAACATTCACTGTGTGTGTTTGAAAAGAGTTGTAACTTTTTTTTATATTTATTGTATAAGAAAATCTTATAAAAAGACTAATTTTACTTTGAATCTGTAATCGATAAGCGTGTAATGTATTTGACAAATAAACTAACTTTCAACGCAAACATGACCGTAGAAGTTACTGAAGAGAGGAGAACTATGATGCTGAGGATTAAAGATACCACCCTTCAACAGAAGACTTCATGTTGAGGATTTTCCTTGATTGGATTGATGAGGTGAAAATATATTTCGAGTACAATATGATCCAAGAAGATTGGAATATTAAGTTAGTGGCCTATAGATTTAAGGGAAAAGCATATGCATGGTAGGATGAGTTATTGATGAATTGATATTATCATGGAATAGATCCAGTTCAAACACAGGCAAAAATGAAGAAATTATTGAGAGACCATTTTCTATCTTCTAACTACAAACAATATCCAGTGCCTTCACAATATTCTTTTACCTTAGCTGACACGATCTGTCTAGCAAAGAATGTGGAGCGAGAACTTGAGCAGAACAACAAAGGACCTTTTTATTATGGATGTTTTCAAAGAGTTCTCGCACTAGCTATGATAGTGGCAAAACTAAGAAATCTCAATTCATCTTTGAGAAAGAGTATAGATTTATAAAGAGCGCTGAAGATGGAACAAAGAAGACTTCATCAATTATGTTGATTATAGAACCCGAGGCATCTAAGGAAAAGGCCTTTCTAGTGGAGAACAATGAGACGCTTTCAACCGAAAAGAAAGATTCAGCCACCATCAAGATCCCTTCCAAGGATATTCCCGAAGAGATCATAAATGATATTACACATGTTGATGTTGCCCCAATGGAAGACAAGAATAGCCAATGAGGTAATTGATATATGTGTAACTTGCTTGGTGAAGCAACAAAAGCAAAGAAGACGAAAAAATTAGGAATGGAGTATGTGGAAAATTCTTCTTTGAAGTAATGATCATCAATGATTCAACAATGTTGAGATGATACTTCTTATAGTAGAATATGAAAAGCAATAAGAAAAATATTCAGAGGAGTTTTCAAGTCATCTGTAGATCCACAAGTCATTAGTCACATAAACATGACCTGGAAAAGATTCATACTCAAGTTTGACTCAAAAGAAGTCCTAGGCGAGGAGACAAAAGAACAATGGGAAAAGATCAATGTTAAATACAGGGTAAATGTTAATCGAAGCAGGGAGAAGAAAAATGTTTATCAAGGAAGCTACTATTCAAGCAAATATAAGCTCGGGGTCGAGCTTCTTTCAAAAAAGAGAGACTGATGTATGAGAATAAAAATATTTATCAAGGAAGCTACTATTCAAGAAAATATAAGCTTGGGATCGAGTTTCTTTCAACAACGAGAGACTGATGTAGGGCACATAACGGGCAAATTCATAGAGAAGTGAAAATTTCACGAGTCAAATGCGGATACATATGAATTATTAATTTGCCTGTAAAGAAATGACTGTATCTCTCAATTCGAAAGGCAGATTCTGACATATTATATATGAAAAATATCTATCTCGACGAGACGAAGCCATCGGGATTGACATATTCTCAAAATCACATAAATATCACTAGTTTTTGGTAGAAATCCAAAATTAATCAATTTTTTTATTTTTTTAGTAATAAAGTTGAAGTCAACTTAAATTAGGAAATGAATTTAATTTTGATTCATGATTTGTTTCCGCTATTATAGAGTCATTTTAGGATAGAATTTGACAGTTTCTATTTATTTGTAATTTTGTTCTTATTATGAGTAGATTTTATTTTTCTATTTAAGAAGAAGAATTATAAACCTTATTAATTAAATAACTTTTTTAAATAAAATTATCTTTTTTATTACTTCATGTGTTCTAGGTTGTCTCTTCATAGATTCGAAAATTATTCTTTGCGAGTTTAAAGTAGGCCCTTTAATGGATTCTACTGTTTCTTATTTCCGCGCTACGTTATTTATGTAGACTAGGTGGAATGCACGTGCACTGCACGTGATCAAATATCATAATTATTTTTTAGGTTTATTTATTTACTATAATATGGTTGCAAAAAACTTTATAAATATCATAATATATTAATTTTTGTTTGGATATTTCCATGTATGGTTTTAACATTTTTGTCTTCCAAAAAAATAGTGATATTTAAAACCTTAAAATATTAACGATTTAAGATATATTCATTACTAATTTGAACGTATAATTTTAAAATATTAGTGATGTAAGGGACCAATACGAAAAATACATATAATTATTAATAAAAAAATAAATTCTTGAATTCATCAAAGAAAAATGGTAGCATTTATCTAGTTAGTAAGGATTTTGTTCGGTTATGAAAAAATCACTTCCACCTATTATTTATCAGGCGACCGAGTATTATAGATATTCAAGAACTTTTTTCTAGAATTCTCTAAGTTATAATGTGCAAATTCAATCAAGAAAGAAAATATAAATTATATGATCAATTTTAAAATATGTTGCTCTTTTTACATCTTCCCAACTACTAATTGATCTATCAAAATAATTACTCTATAGTTTTAGAAAATTATAAATATAGTCTGAGAATAATTTATACATATTATGCACTCATATTGATTGTATTTTAACAAAATAATTCATATCTATCTAATGTCAAACAACATCAAAAAAATTTAATAATTTAATATTAGTCCCTAAATTATGAGCAATTTAAAATATTTCAGGGAATAACATAAAATCATTGTATATTTAAAATCAAGGAACTAATATCTAAATAACCTTTACATATTTGCTCTTATAGGTATCCTATGAAATATTTGTCGATATATTGCTATATCGGCCAATATATCGGGTTAAAGACTTTATCTATGTAATATTTCCTATTGTTTTCTTTTGTTTGGTGATTTTTTTGATATATCGACCGTTATAGAAAATATGGCCAATATATCTATTTGAAGATATTGAGAAAATCATGTCCTTTTTAATTTGATTGTGGACTCGAGTTTGGATCGTGTTTGGGAAATAAAATTGGAACCTACAAAACCCACAAAGGCCACAATTCTTCTCCAAATCTCTCCACTCTCGGCTCTCCCAAATCTTAAGCATATTTCTTGATGCAAATTATTATATTTAAATTTCATTAATATGTTAGATTACATATTACAATGTCATGTTATGTATGAATATTATCTCATATGACACCCAATATTACATAGACATCCCTGAACTTTACAATCTGATATCATGAATTTTATTTGTTTAATATTTATCTGATGTCCAACCCTTTGTAGTAGTCCTTCAGAAGCCTCTTCTAAAGTTTTTTAAGCGAAGTATATAATTTTAGGAAATAATTCAAAATCTTGAGACTCATTCAAAATATGATGCTTCAATTTTTCAGCATCTCCTCTACTATATAAATATAAGCTAACCATTGGGCCTCATATTGTATATATGATAAATATTATTTATCAATGGGTTCATATATTATTGTTTATGGATAACAAAGGTTTTAAATCTTTTATAGACTTAATTGAACTTAAATCTTTTATAGTTTACAGTAATTATATTTATATACCTCCACTTGTATCTTGTTGCACATTTTTTAAATTTTAGATAACATATCTAGCTTGCTGCACTTAAATATCCTAATGTTTTCCAAAATATAATGTTTTTACATTTTGTCCTCTTACATAAACATAAAAATGCTCTTTGTAATTTTCCTATATGAGTTTCATGGTATAATTTTAGGACAATTCTATGTTTTCTACTCTTTCCATAAATACTTTATTAACATGCAATTATCTATTAATATATTATTTTACATTACTAATAATTGATATGATGTAGAGTTTTACAATAACGTTGGAAGTTTTAGGGACCAAATTATACAAACTTAAAGTGACATATAATGTAATTATAATTAACAATGATAAAGGCTTAATTGAACTTAAATCTTTTATAGTTTACAGCAATTATATTTATATACCTCCACTTGTATCTTGTTGCACATTTTTTAAATTTTAGATAACATATCTAGCTTGCTGCAGTTAAATATCCTAATGTTTTCCAAAATATAATGTTTTTACATTCTGTCCTCTTACATAAACATAAAAATGCTCTTTGTAATTTTCCTATATGAGTTTCATGGTATAATTTTAGGACAATTCTATGTTTTCTACTCTTTCATAAATACTTTATTAACATGCAATTATCTATTAATATATTATTTTACATGACTAATAATTGATATGATGTAGAGTTTTACAATAGCGTTGGAAGTTTTAAGGACCAAATTATACAAACTTAAAGTGACATATAATGCAATTATAATTAACAATGATAATTAATTTAGTTTAATTAGTATTAGAATAGAATGTAATATCAACAAAGAATAGGGATAGTACAGTCCTTGAAAAGTTTTTTCACAACTCCCTCTTTTAAAGGGAGTATGATATGATATGATATGATATGATGATATGAATGATTTGAATATGATATTTTACCAAGGAAAGCAGTCCCCTGGCAAGGTTGTGGGAAAACTCAAGATATTGTGAGATTTACCCTTTTATTAATCCCATGGCTAGGGAAGTAAATGATTTTCTTATATATATTTTTAGCCTACGAGAAAAGCGAAAAAGAGCAAAAGGATCAATGATGAGAGCGGGTGGGTGAGCGTACGGATCAATTGCCCAGGTTTTGAGTTGACTGCGGGCGGCTCAGACTTTCTATGACGCGGCACAAAACGTCAAAAGAGAACGACCCTTCGCCTCTCCTTCTTCTCCCTTGACTTCAGCGTCAGTGACTTCTCCCCTTCCCTCATTTAAAGCTTCCGCTATATAACTTGCGTCTACCCCTCTCCTTTTCTCCTCAAAATTTGCTATTAATAATTTCTCCAATTCCTCTCTCTCTCTCTCTCTCTCTCTCTACAAATTTTTTAGCTGCTCAAGGATATCAAAAGCATGAGTGCAAAGGTTGGTATCCTTTTGATTTGCTTTTGTAGCCTCTTATATATATAAAGGTCATGTTCTTTTAGCTCATAGTGATCATCTTGCTTAATTATGGTCCTAATCCGTTAACTTGTTAATATGAAATTATTACCCTTTTCTTTCTACTTAGAGTTTCCTTGATTCTAACTTTTTGAATGATCTATGAATTGCAGAAGGTTATCCTAAAATTGGACTTGCATGATGACAAAGACAAGCAAAAGGCTATGAAAACCGTCTCCAAGATTCCTTGTAAATCGATCTATCTATCTGTCCGTCTATCTGTGTCTTCTGAATTTCGATCTTGTGGCTTAGAACTAATAATTAATTCTGTACCTTTTCAGGCGTCGATTTGATCACCATAGACATGAAAGACAGAAAGATGACGGTTGTCGGAGATATCGACCCAATCAACGTCGTGAACAAGCTCCGGAAGTATTGGGCCACCGAGATATCCTTCGTGGGACCCGCCAAGGAGCCGGAGAAGAAGAAAGACGACCCCAACAAGAAAAAAGATGATGATAAGAAAGAAGGAGGAGGAGGAGGAGGCGGCGGCGGCGATAACAAGAAAAAAGATAAAGAAAATGAGCCCAAAATGAATTATAACCCGTACATGATGCCTTATCATCCTCAGGTTGTGACTTACAGCCCTCACATGAGCTATCCTCAAAATTTTCCTCCGCAGTACAATCCCCCAATGCCTGCACCTTATTACGCTCAAGTTCATGAGGAGAATCCTAATGGTTGTGTTATTTGCTAAGTACGTAGTTGCAGTGTTGAAGATCACTAGATTGGTTTTGTATATAGTAGAGAGATTGGTTGGGTAATTAATAGGGAGTTATTCTTTTTGGCCTAGTATATAGATTTTGCTATTTTTGATGATAATGAGTGTTTTTCTTTCCCCAGTTTTCAAGGAATTGGATTATCACAAAGTTTACCTGTTGTTGGTCTCGATCTTCTATTCTTTGGTCGACTAACTCGAACGCTCAAGGGCTTTGTCCAGCTAGGGAAGAATTAAGGTTACCTATAAAAACTTTTACATCATGAACAGTTTGAGTTTTTTGTCATTGCATAAAGATTGGATGCTGATAGATTTTTTTTTATTTTTTTATTTTTTTATTTTTTGCCATCTTCATCATATTTAGCGGTCCGCTTGGTGTGAACTTATGTCTTTTGCTCGCCTTGTATTCTCCCCTCGCAACTAAACTTAAGCTAATCAAAATCTCTTAATATTATTATTAGTAAATTTGAATTTGTTATTATATTACAACTGCTATTATTTCTTTTTTTCTAATTTGTACAAGTGAACAAATGATGAACTAGAACTGTTGGTAGTGGTAACAGTGCACATAGCTTCTATAAATGACGTCATTGACTATGATGTTGTTGAACAAGTCATTAAAAGAAATCAAGAACTTCTCTTCTCAGTTCGGAGCACAAAAATTCCACAAATGTGACAATGTTGTACACTGAATCTATAGTGAAAAAACCCATCCCATGACTTTGTTATTGTGGGTAGTTGACAGACTTCGAAGAATTCTACAAACTTGACTTGCAAAAAAAAATGTAACCCCTTTAATTTCACTCACAACAGGAAATATTCTCGTCCATCAAGTTTGTACTAGTACGTAGTCTCAAGGGAAAAAGGAAATTAGGTATCATATTCAATAAGAAATATACAGACAAAAACAAAAGAAGAGCAAATTTTTGTTCTTTTTTCAATCCATTCGAGAAAATTTCAGTTGTCAAGAGGGTGGAATATAAAGGAAATCAAAGTCCAAGAGTGTTCAAAGATCAGCCGACCATTTGATTCCAACTACCAAAAAAAGCAAACAGTTGAAACTGTCAGATATAATCAAAGTCCAAGATTTCATTTCTTTAGAGAATCAAGGCATTCAAAGTTAAATATATATTATGGAATAATGAATTTTATTCCTGCTAAAATATTATGGCTTTACCAATATAGTTGTCATATTCTGTTTTATTCATGTGTTGCTTTATATAGATTCCAGAACTATGTAAACTTTAGAATTGTCATTTATTGAACTTTTTTTGTATTATTTTATTGTCAGACAAACCGTTGGCATTGTGTTGCTGGAGTTGGTGATAGCAGATACAAATTTTGAAAATAAGAAAGCACAATGGTTATCGAGCTGCTAGTGATTATCACAAATATTAGTTTGATATATAAACTCAAGAAAAATTAACCAGATCTAGTAATGCTTATCTCTAAACTGTTTATCCTGAATAAGGCAACCATGGGCAGCTGTTTGGGAAAGAATCATTTTGAGAAAATTCCAAATTTCATGAGACAACATAGTGTACGAGAACTGTATACAATGGTTTTCATACTAATATTAGTATTTAGTTCTTGTCATATCTGAATATGTGACAAATTATATTAACATACTGAAGAGGTTCGCATTCTTTATACTTGTTCAGATAAACCAAAAAACAGTAAAGAGCACATATGACATATAGTTCAACAAAAATAGAAGAACAAATCTAATGATGGTATATTTGAAAGACGATCACATACCTAGCTTTATGACCTAATCTTGTAAGATGCCAGAACCTATCATGAAAATTAAAATGAATAAGTTTGTTTATTACTTTATCAAAGGCAAAAAAATAAAGACTCAACTAGTTAAAAGATTTTGTACCTTTTCTCATGCTACTACAGCAAATCATGAACTGGATGAGCGCAAGATCTCAAGTCTCCAATCCACCATCATCGCCTAATTGCCACCATCATTTAAGAACTTACATGTGAAAAATAAGTAGACGAAAGCACAATTTGTGTGTGTGTGTGTGTGTATTCTGCAATGAGTTTTCGGAAGATTGAGATGTATAAACTTCACAGTAAACTTCTTGTGACAATTTACACAACATATCCACGAAGCAACTGTTTGCGCGTCGCAAAACAAGCAAAAGTTAGAAATCCAAGTTCACAGATTAAGCTTATGTTTCATAGAGGAAGTGAAACAAAAAGGTTACAAAGAGTTGAGGGATCACCATACAGTGAGCAAGTAGCAAATTCAAATTATTTCACGCTGAACAAGCTCCTTAAAGTCCCTTTTTCCAATCTCTCGAGCAATTTATTTCCACCAGGGACATCCATCTCCGATAATTTCTTAAGATATCCAACAGCCCCATAAGAGATCATAATCCTCTTGCACTTCTTGCTCGAGGTCATAAACAAAAGGCAACAAACTGCATACTTCTTCGCTGTATTCTGAGGGCTCGGATCAAGCAACTGAACTAAATTCGAAATGCTCCTTTTGTCCTTTTTAACCTCTCTTCGGTTATGTGGGCAGCTCATTAAGCTGGCAATGGCTTGAGCAGCAACTTCTCTTGCCAAAGTTGACTTAGCCTCAAGCAAACTTAACAGCAAAGGCAAACAACCATATTCACCAACCAATCTCTTCATTTCCATAGAATTAGAGATCTTACAAATTGCAGAGGCTGCTGCTTGTTTAGCACCCAAAGATCCATTCTTTAAAACATGCACAATTCGAGGTAAAATCCCAAGAGAAATTATGCTATCGGTTGAAACAACAGTAACAAGATTTCTCAATGCACCAACTGCAGACTCTTGAGGCAATGGGCCATCGAGATAAGCCAAGATACTGCGAATTCCTCCTTCAGAAACCACGGCTTTCTTTAGACTGTCACTGCTTGATGTCAAATTCTGCAAGCACTCTGCAGCGTATTCTTTCAACCCGAGCACAGTTCCAGAATCTAGCAAATTGATCATGACCCGGATAATCCCCTCTTCTGCTAAACTCTGCCTCACTTCAGGCACAACCGAGAGGTTTCTCAGAGTTCCAACCGCCGCTAACTGTGAAATTGAATCCCCAAATTGGCAAACTTCAATTAGTGGCAGAATTCCTCCATGCTCAGAAATTGATCGTGCATTTTCAACAGACATCGATAGCCTCTGCAGTGTTACTACTGACTTCTCTCTTCCGACCAAGCTTCCAGATTCCATCAACCGAATCAATGGGGCAATTACCCCTTCTGATATTAACAGACTCTCACAACTCCCCGATTCAGCAAGCAAGCAAATTATCGTAACAGCCTTCTCTCTAACCTTAGGAGCAGGTGCAGTGAGCAACTGAACAAGGGCATTTATATTGCTGCGACCAAGCGAAGCAATCACATTCTTCCCATCCTCTCTCAAGGCTTCAAGTAGCCCATCAACAGCCTTATGTTTTGCCTCGCTGTTCCCAATCTGAACTCTAGCCAGCAACTCCTGCACACTGCAAATCATCGAGTCAGAGGAGGGCGATGATTGCGCATTCAATTCACCGAGGACTCCAGTCTTGATCAAAAGGCGACAATCTTTAATACATAGATCTAGCTTCGCAGCAAGTGAATCAAGATCACTCTGCATTTGGAGCTTCCCAACTGAAATTTCTCTGGATGAGCATTGCTCTGCTAATGAAATGGTTTCTGAAAGAGCAATGGAGATCGATTCCAACTGTTCTCGACTTAGAGAATTCTTTGTGAAGAACGGATGAGACGAGAGATCAGAAAGACAATGTGGGATCTGTTCGAGCTTGGAGATTATCAAACTCCATCGACCTGCGAAATTCTTGGTGGATTTAGACTTCTCGATGGCTATAGGAACCAGATGGCGAGCACGGGCAAGCCACTGGTCCACAGATTCAGATTCTTCTTCCATTGTGCTGCTACTGATCCTGTATAGAAATTGTGATGCAGGAATTATGGTGAGAAAGAGATTGAAGAAGGTGGGGTTAGTTGAAAAAGTCTTTGTGATTAGTTTTCCTGAAGAGAATATTATTATTCTTCTTTTTTTTTGGGTAAAGACCCAACGAATATATTGCTGAAAGAAGGGCAAGTGACAGCTGATCATGAAGCATAAAATTAATGGGCTGAATTGAGATGCAAAGTAAAGTGAATTTCTTTTCAGAAATCTTAATCTTTCTTCTGAAAATTTTATTAGAAAGGGAGAATAAAAGCGGTAGCAGAGAAAAGGAGACACCTTTTCGTCAATAATGCCCACGTGATTACTAGTAAAACACGATGGTAACTTTGAATTCAAAACTTCAATTACAGCTGGCGTAAGATTACAGAAATGCCCAAAACTAAGGTTCCAGCTTCCAGGTTTCGAACTGCGCCGTCAGCAAAAGGGCATTTTGGTATTTTGACGATCACCGCCTTCCCCCTCACCGGCAGTTTCACCGGCGACCAAAAAAAAATCCTTTGTAACCCAATTCAGAACCAAATAACTAGTAAACCTAAAACAAAATTTCAGCTTTTTCCGATTCAAATACAAATTTTGAAATTTTGACAAGTAATTTCGAATCTCTAGGATCACCCCAAAAAACCCCCTGATCTAAAGTAAAAGAAGAAGAAGAAGAAGAAATCGAGCAAAAGAGCTAGGCTATATTGAATTACCTCAATCAATCAAAATGTAGACTGGAGAAGTCCATGGTATCTCCAAAAAGACTGAAACTTTTTTTTTAAAAAAAAAGAAAGAGCTGTTTTTCGTCGATTTCTCTCGCTTCCCTTTTGTTTTGAAGTGGCTTCAAGCTTCTGCTGCCTTCGAATCGAAGCACAAAGAGACAAGCAAACGGTCACCGAAGCGATTATTGAAGAAAGCTGAGGTTTCGTTTGGAAGCGAAGTTATTGAGTTTGGAGCAGGAATAATAATATCCGGACCAAATAAAAATTTAGTAGAAACAGAAGGGCTTCTGCTTAATTAGCAGATTGAGCTGAGGCGTTAATAAGAAGATGAGACACCGAGACGGCTCGAATATGAAATTTGGATCTGAGTCATCTGACCATCAGAAAAAAAAAATCATAATTCAAAATTCCTTCAGTATTGAAGATTCCCGACGCCTCTGCCATAAAGAAATTTCTTTTATTTTCAAATTAATTAATTAATTGTAACTTTGTTTAGACATATTAAAATAGTGGCCCATGATTTGACCATGATTCGACTAATTAGATATATCAATAAATATTAGCGAACCAATCTTCGTTGAAACCTCTTCGAGTCAATATCTAGCGGACTGTGAATCATGACCAATCATCACCAAACAATAGGTTTACTTTGTTTGCATCCCTCGACAAATATTCGACTGCTAGATGGAAGATGAACAGCTCTCAGTCGGTCGGACTCCACGGTATCAATTATAATCTCACCGTCAATAGCAAACAGCAAACCACTACAGTGAAACTCCCCCTCACGCCCGGCAAGAGTAGCACCTGAGCTAGTATTAGTTCTCTCCTGTTGTAACCCGAGTAATGCAGCCTAGTTTATTGGTATATACTAGCATCATCGCACGTGCAAATGCACGCGTCGTAGATATTGGACTTATTTATTCTAAATTTTATTTAAAAAGAGCTAATTGTGTTTTCATAACCTGAAGTTTTATTAGTTTCTTAACCCTCACATCCTGAAGTTAAAATTTGCTCAAACATACTAAACAATATGTAATATTGTAATCTTAGTCGAGCATGAGAGCATAGCTTTCCATTTACTAAATATCAACTGAAATCATTATAAAAAATATTTTGGAAAAATTATGTCAAGACCCCAAAAGCAATATCATCATGTGTTGAAGCCCCTTCACTTTTTTTCTCACATGGTTCAGCCTAAAAAAGTATCACATCATGTGATGCAGTCCTCTTTTAGTAATTATTACCCGCCAACTAAGCACAGAGAGAGAATAAAAAAGTAAAAACTCCAAAATGCCCTTAGATCTATTTAGAGTTCATGTTAGGTCTAATTTATTTCATGTTAAGTCTATTTTGAGTCCATGTTAGGTCTAATTTAATTCCTTTTAAGTCCAATTTAAATCATGTTATGTCTAATTCAACTTGTTTTAAGTCTAATTTAATTCATGTTAAGTCTACTTCAACTTGTTTTAAGTCTAATTTCATGTTAAATCCAATTCAATTCATATTAAGTCTAATTTAAATCATGTTATGTCTAATTTAACTTGTTCAAAGTCTAATTTAATTTATATTAAGCCTAATTTAATTCTTTTTATAAGTCTAATTTCATGTTCAGTCCAATTAAATTAATTAGACTTAGAACAAGTTGAATTAGATATAACATGATCTAAATTAGATTTATAAGAAATTAAATTAGATTTAATATAAATTAAATTGGATTTAACATGAAATTTAGACTTAAAACAAGTTTAATTAGACTTAATATGAATTAAATTAGACTTAGAACAAGTTAAATTAGACATAACATGATTTAAATTAGACTTAAAAAGAATTAAATTAGACCTAACATGTAACCAAATTAGACTTAACATGAACTCTAAATAAACCTAACATAAAACTGAATTAGACCTAACATGAACTCTAAATAGATCTAACATGAAATTAGATCTAACATGAACACTAAATAGACCTAACATAAAAGAATAGAGTAGATAAGGGTATTTTAGGGTTCTGTACTTTTTATTCTCTCTCTATGCTTAGTTGGCGGGTAATAATTGTTAAAAGATGGTTGTATGTGACACTTTTTTGGGCTGAACCACATAGGAAAAAAGTGAAGGGGCTACATCACATGATGTTATTGCTTGTGGGGCCTTGACATAATTTTCCTAAATATTTTTTTTGTTAATAATATAAGAAGTTGTCATTTTCTAATCATTTATATTTTGCATTGAGATGTATTTACTAATCATTTCGGAAAATAATCTTATTATTTTATAATATTTTATATTTATCTCTTACTATCATTTTATATGTTAATCTCTTATAACATATAAATTGATAAATATTTAATTATGTTAGTTCAAATTCCATTCTTATTCATGATTTAGGATGTTCTAAAAATAAGAAAAGGATGAATATTTAGTTTTGTTAGTAAAATTCAATTCTCATTCACAATTTAGGATCTTCTAGAAATAAGAGAAGGAAAAAAAAGGAAAAACATATTTCATATGCAAAATTACCAATATGCCCCTTCACTTCTACTATGGTGGGAAATCTCTAATCTTTTTGGTATCATCACTAAGATTTTAATATAATGGTATATATAATATTATTGCATATATATTATAGTAAATATATATATATATATATATATATTCATTTTCAAGATAAATTATATCAATAAAATTAGTTTGGAGTAACATTCTAATGGGTGGGTTGTCGAATTATTTTAGGATTGACGTGAGACGATCTCCTCTTCATATTTTCCAAATTAAGGGAAAGAAAATGAAGATGATGTTGTCCCGTCCAACATTTGTATGCTAGGGTTAAGAGTCCATTCTTATTGATTTCTAGGGAGATTTTTTTTTTTAAGTTTTTTTTATTTTACGCAAGTTTGGTGACAATAAGAACGTACGTGAATGGAGAGAGTTGGTATTAGTAAACATCACACGGATGATGAGAGACGTTGAAGGATTAATTAGGACCTTGAGAATATTGATGCAACACGATCGAGTTGGTGAAGAAATGTTGATGATCCAAAGTGTTGTTATTTGTCTCAGCTACAGTGTAGTGTAGTTGGCATAAGAAATGACGAATCGCCTTTAAAAGATCGAGAAGGATTAATTGCTTGTAGACCCCCTTTATTAAGTGGATCGTGACACTTGCTGTATATTCTTCAACTCTAGAAAGAGCGCATATTAAAAAAATACGGATATAATAATTACGGATGCATATTTGTATAGAGTAAAATATATGGATTCATATCTCAAAAATATCCAAGTATAGGTTGAACATATCATTATAATTGTCTTGATCGTTAGATCAATGATTTTGAGGTTAATTGACTTAATTTTAATAATCAGGAAATCTAGTCTTAACTTTTCAGATATGTAACTATAATTTATTATCATGTCGGCTATATTTTTTTCAATCTTATCTAGTTTTCTCCCATTCATTTCGTATCTACCACACACACACATATATCAGGTAGATACGAATATAATAAGTATCATATCTGAGTCGTATCTAATTTGTTATTACTCTATGTATTACATGTTTGCTAAAATTCGAGAAACATAGTGAGGTAATAAGAAGGGAAGTCAAGGGTATTTTGGGATTAAAATTAGGTTAGTCACGTAGAATCCGCGTGGGAAAGAATTTAGCGAAGCTACGTGCATTTACTAAGCAATATTGTCATGTACTTATACGGCAAGCTTGCGTAATCTAAGTATAATCTAGCTATTATCTCGGTAATACGTGAAATATCATTAGTTCCTTGGAGTGGTAATTTTTGGCGGTGTTTTCCTTGCTCTGTCAACTGAACATAGGAGTAATGCTGTCAAAAATTAAAAACAATTAGTATAAATCTGAAATTAAAGGTTAGAAAATCAGGTCTGAACGAGTGCAGTCGTGTTTTCACTGCCCTAGAAGATAGATGAACCGCCTATCGCCCTGACGCAGTCGATCCTCACCCCCTAGCGGTAAAAGCCCCCGGAAAGCGACAGGCCTCTGAACTCGGGCATGAGTAGCAGAGCTTCTGCTCAGATGAAGATGGTTGACCGGAAAATGATTAACACAAAAAAAAAAATAGAGAGCGAGAAGCTTTGAGAAAGAAATGAGAATGATGTTCTTTTTTTCTGTGTTTTCTGAGGACGAGAGGCTAGCTTTATATAGGGCTCGAAGAGTTACCCATTACGCCCAATCCGTGCGCTCCCCGCGTCTGTTACGCCCCATCCGCGTAACTCCCCGCGCCTTACTCTCCGCATCCATTACGAACGGGTCAATCGGAAGAAACAGTCAAAAAAATAAAACTCGTGAAGCAAAAGGAAGTGTGCCTGTGCGGCGTGGCGCGCGCACGCGTGTGTGTGTGAGTAATGCAAAGCCCACAAAACCCAAAACACTAGTCAAAACCCAATAAAATGTGAACCAATATAAATATCTTGGACTTCTTCTCATTTTCCGATGTGTGACTATTCACAAAGGCAAAATTGACTTTTCATGAACCAAAGCCTAACA